TATTAAACATATTAATCTGAAGTTAACAATTTGTGCTTGTTTCACTAAATGGCTGGGAGAGAAGAATGTGAGGGAAAAGAATTTGATCTGATGGGAAGGCTTAACCCTGATGGACTAAGTGGCCTCAGGATCCTGACTTTTAAAATAACTGGAAGTGGAGGGACTGTTCACAGAAGTGGAGAGTCAGAGGGTAAACCTAAGTGGAGTTAAAGAAACACAAACAAAACCCATCCCCTTCTCACCCAGACCTGCCATGTGACTCTGAGGACATTGCTTACTGCAGTGACAGCATTTTAAACAGCTGCCCAGAGGGGTTTTAAATAGACTTGATGTAATTCAATGATTTATGGAGCATGGGTTACCAAAATATTAAAGTTCTGAAATATCCCCAAACCAAGACCATGGCCCCAGCATTACCCACTCCGAACCAAGCAATTCTCTGCTGTTGGACTGTCCTGTGGCGGCTCCTTCAGAAAAACTGTGGCTGCTCTGAAGGAGGCGCCAGAAAAAGATAAACAGCCTCTGATGAATAGAGACGACCTTCCACATAAAAACACTCTCCTAGTCTTCAACGATCTAATCCACAGAAGGCACCAATCTTCAGGAAACAAGCCAGGCAATTATTATTAATTGGTATATCCAATCCAAACATTTGGGGGAAACTGAAGGGGACTATAACAAGAAATGAATCTGGTTAACGAAGAGCCCTTAAACCTCTACTTTATAAAATAAGACCCAATTATGCAAACATTTTACAGCCCTAATCAATAGTCCCCTCAAATGCAATGGTCTGAAATTGGACACAAGTCTGGAATTGGAGATCGCTGCCATCCTTCCGTTACATTCTCTTCATTACACAAGAACAAGCCTCCTTTTTTTCTAATCCTTGTGTGTTCCTCCAGCCTCAAAGAGAACACTCTGAACCAGAGGCAGGTCTCAGAGAATCCTGACAGTTTTGTTTATTTCAAAAATGATGAAACATGACAGGCTATCATATTTCGACTTGTAACCTGATCGTTTGCTTCAGGACTTCCTATTAAGATTAATTTGGAGACAGGGAAGAGCAAGGAGAAGGAGGAGGAAGGGGAGGAGGAAGTGGGCTCAGAGAAGGCAAAGAAGAGCTATTAAATGGTCTTCCTAAATGTAAGGGAACTGGATTGGCAACCTGGTATGTGCTTTTTACTTAGCCAAGGGCCAGGAAAATGCTGAATGAATCTCTGTGTGGGTTTTTATCTTAATGTCCCTTATATTTTAAAATGAATATTTTGCTGAAAAACTTTACAGTATAACCCATTGATGATAATTCTTCAGGTGTGGATGAGAGCAGTAAGAAAGATCTTCTGTGTGTTCTGTATTAACAACACATCATCAGCACCATTAACACTGCCACCACCTCCACCATCATCATCACCACCATCACCACCTTCACCACCACCTCCATCACCACCACAGCCACCATCACCATTATCACCACCATCACTTTCACATCATCACCATCACTATCACCATCACCATCACCACTCTACCACCTTCACCACCACTACCACCTCCAATATCACCCCTACTCTACTTCACCATCACCGTCACCACTTCTACCACTACAACTTCCATCACTACAACTCCATTATCACCACTACCACCACCACCTCACTCCAAATAAGGGTGCATAATTTCTCTGGGATAAACTTTGTATACCCAAAACAGTTACTTGCTTTCTTCCTCTCAATCAAAACCAATTAGACTGTAGCCTTCAACTTTTCTATTTTGAAGGAATTCAATTTCATCCTCAAACAAAGTTCCTGAAACTGAGTCTCAGGGAGAGGGATTCTTTTGTGAAATTTGCCTGGTTGGTGCTGGGGTTTGTAGTTGGGAAAAGCCAAGATAGTAAGGCAACAAAGAATTCCTCCGTCAGGTGAACTTGGGGGAAGTCATACAAGATTTTCTGCTCACAGACCTGGGCACAGAAGACAAGGTACTGAGAACTTTAACTTCACATAGAAACCAAACACAGAGAGCTCTTTTGAAAGATACTCAAGGTCAGTGGACCCAAGCCTCCTATCCTCACCAGCCAGAGCCTTAGATGGGACAGAAAGAAGGTTTTATATCAAAGGCTAATGTCCATCTAGTGAGGGTAAAATCCTGGAACACTGTATTGAAAAGGATGTATGTGTGTGTGTGTGTGTGTGTGTGTGTGTGTGTGTGTAAGCTCAACAAGAGCAGAGAATACAAATACCCTCCCCCTTCTCGCATGAGTACACACATACACATACACACACATATTAGTGATTGGTTGTAACTGTGTAGAAAAAGGAGGAAAATGGAGAACTTTCTACCACTTATCTTCCATCTCCATTGCTCCCCTCTCTTTTCCCAGATAGCCCATGAAGCTAGTAATTCTTCACTTACACTTATCACATCCTAATGCACTAGCCTCAGAGGCTTAATACTGTCTTCTGAAAATTTGAAAGTCCATTACTAATATATAGGTCATTGGTTCACATTACCAAACAAGACAAAAGCCTTATTTAAGGCCTTGAACACTACCTAGATGCACTCTCAGTATCTTCACTACGCCTCTTAACTTGAATTGGCTTTAATCTCTGAGTTGGTCAGCTTTCCGTCACTGTGACAAAACACCTGAGATAAACAGCTCACAAGGAGAAAAGATTTATTTTGGCTCACAGTTTAAGAGGTTTCAGTTCATGATCAGCTGACTCTACTGCTTTTGTGCCCATGGCAAGGCAGAACATCATGGTAGAAAGGGCATGATCTATTCACATCACGGAGGCCAGGAAGCAGAGAGAGAGAGGGGCGGGGAGAATCTGGTCCCAATATCCCCATCAAGGGCATTCTCCCAATGACCCTACTTCCTCCAATTATGCCCCACCTCCTAGAGTGTCCACCACCTTCCTCCATAGCACTGCAGGCTGGTGACTAAGACTTTCTCAAATGGTCTTTGGGGGACATTTAACATATAATCCATAGTAATATCCCCCAACTCACTTTCTGTATGCCACTAGCATGGATATTAGAAGCATTAGAACTCCACTCATGGCCTCAGGACTCCACTAGCTTTAGTTGGGGGTAAAATATTCTCAGGGAAGTACTGTGATTAGCTGAGCTTGAGCCATGGATCTTTCAATGCATCAATTATAGAGGCAGAGGGGGAACCTAACAGCTTTAGTCAGATGCTCATCCCTCAATTCATTATTATGGCCAGAGAGATGAAGTCCTACAGGTAGAAGACTGCTCCAGCTCATGGCCTATGGCTGGATCAAGAGGCGAGTAGAGGAGGATGACTTGATACCTGCAAAGAAGTGTTAGCGTAGAATAGCTATGGCTAAGCCCCATAGCCACAACAATATGAGCCTACTTCAGAAGTGATTTGAGGGCTGGGGATATAGCTCAGTTGGTGGAGTGTTTGCCTTGTATGCACAAGGCCCTGGGTTCAAATCCCCAGCAACCACCAAATTAAAAAAAAAAAAAACAATAACAACAACAGAAGGAATTTGAAAAATCTACAATATTATGTTGCCCAACTATTAGTAAATATTATAATTGATAAATATTGTCAATAAATAAAATACTTGTTCTTGGCCCTGAAGACCCTGCCTGTTCTAGAGACTGTTGTGGCAGAGATGTTTCTAAGCTTTAGCCTAAAGTGCAAACAAACAACAACAACAAMAAAAAAAAAATCAAGGATAGAGGTGGGGAATATTTATAATACAGATTCATGTTCCCATCCTGGAGATTGTTTTGCTATATCTAGGGCCCAGGATTTTATGCTGTTAAAGTCCTTTCCCCCGGGGTAATCTTGACATTGCAGTTTCACAGAGTATACTTCCAGAAATACAGGTCCAGCACCTTGTTGGATACCATGACCCAAGGTCAGATGCATGGCCAAGTGCTGATGAGAGTGGGAGTGGGCACAGTAAGAAGATTCCAGCTGTTTCCAGCTACTTCACAGATGTCTCCTGCTATTTAATTGCAGCTTGAAGATAAGAATCCTCCTACACTCAGGACTTTGGTCCTAAAAAGCCTTTTCATCAGTCTTAAAAGCCCTAGGCATCCATCTCCTAGCTACCCTACTGCTTCCGGCTCCCAGGAATTCAAATTTGCCTTCCTCCCTACACAGCATACTGTGGTCCTCTACCCAGATTCCCCTTTAGGGCTCATGTCTCATTCCCCCAGCTGCTGAGAATATGGTGGATGAAGACCCATAGTTGCTACCCTTGGACAGACCGCACTTCATCTAAGGACATATTTCCTAGCAGCAGTCTGTATGCAGTGACAAGTCTCTCCATGCAGAGGCATAAAGGACGCCTGGCAGGATACCTCAGCACATCTGTGCTATTCCTGTTACCATTGCAAAGCCCTGCTTCCAGGTGTGGGTCTTGAGGGCCTTTTGTGATAAACCTCCTCCATGCAATTTCCATTTCACAGTGGGCTTCCCAGGAAGCTGACCTAAGACCCAGCCCAACCACAGCACCCCATCCTCCACAATGGCGGCCTCCTTCCTCATTCCAAAAGTTACCTGTTACTATTTTCAAGTAACAAATTAGTTCAGCTCCAAAGATGATGGAGATAATCTAGAAGACCTTCTAGATTGTAAGTTTTCATTTCAGGAGAAAGGGAGTGATTATAGAGATGGACTTGTAGGGACAAAAGTTTGATACTCTGATCCTGGCCAGTCAAATCATCTCAGAATAGTTCAGATTCTGTCCATATGTGAGCCGTTGCTTTCCTAGGAGGCCACAGGAGGCAGTGCAGGACCAGGAGTATGAGGAGTCGGGTGTGTGTAGAAAAGGCAGGGAACTCTATTTTTCTTGGAATAGACAGGGATGGGGAGGACCTTGGGGAACTGAGGACAGGCCAAGAACAAATAAATTCAGCTCTGAGAAATGTTAAAAGACAAAATTATGAAAAACCTGCTTTTGTAGATCTTTACTAGTTTTATTTGTGATTTTAGAATTGAACAGTGGTCTGGACCAAAAATTTTTTTCAGAATGCTCTGTGCCCCACCATATGGACCAAGAAAATCACAAGAAACGGACATGAGGCAGACATATAGCCTGATTGATTACAGCTCACCTTGTAATTGGCAAAGATTCTGTATTTGTTACAAGAGTAGAATACAGTCTTTTTCTGCATCGAGCTAGCTTAAGTTCACCATGTATGGAGAAACACTTAACAGAGGTGCCATAATGTACAGATGGAGCTCTAGCAAGGACTCTGGAGCCCTGGGACCTACTCGTGGCTTTGCCAATTCTAGCAATGTGCAAGAGCCTCCTCTATGAAATGGGAGTGACTACCCAAATTTTCTCTCTCAGAATGAGATAACGCATGCAAACATCATGGAAAAGCTACTCTGCCTGTAGTCCTAACTCTTCCATGACCCTGAACCCTATACTCTCTGTCAACACTCCTAAAACCATGTAGAGCTGGAACCCAGTACTTTCTAAAACATTTTTTGTGATAATAATTATGCCATTTATTGGGCGCTTACCTGGTACACTTCTTGCTAATGTCCTCCATAATAGATCAGGGAGGAAAAGCCCAGTAATTCAGGAATATTCTTGGTGACAACCTTGTGAGATGTTTGTTGTTTTACAGAGGAAGAACACGAGATGGGAGAGCTTTTCAACTTCCTCAGAGTCACATATTTAGCAAGGGAAGGAGTTAGGACTTGAACCAGCTGTCTGCTATCAATGCTCTTAGACACTAAGCCAAACTGTCTGAAGAAAAAATGATTCCGACGACTACTTAACTATGTCATTTTAGGAGAAAACTGGGTTTTGAGTAGCTGGGTTGTGTTTCCCCTAGGTTTGGATAAAGGGTTAAAAATACAGGGTCCCGTCCAAAACACACTAGTAACTTTCCCCTTTTGTTGCATTCCAAACACATATGTACTTTCCGACTGCTCCAGGGGTTGTAACATCCTTGCAGAGGCTGCGGCTTATGACCTATCATCACCTTCAAGATCAGCCTAGAAAGTAAGAAAAATATGATGTGAGAATTTTTCTCTCTCAAAGCCAGTCTTAGGGAGCTAGCCATTTTTAGAGGAAAAGCAGGATTGTTGAAGGGCCAATTCACAGCGGGTTTATTTTAACCCTATGTGATGCAATAATAATAATAATATATTTATATAAAGTTCTGCTTAAGAAAAGGCTGAGGACAATTGGGAGTTGGCTGGCTTGGGTTTAAGAGGTGGCATGCAGCAAAACAACCAGATATAGTTCTTTGGGGGAAAAGAGGTCTAAAAAGAAAAGAAAGCTCCCTAGGTTTGGGAAAGGGCAATAAAGCATATGAAGGTGTGTGGTATCATGCCAAAAGCAAAAGAATATTCCACTAAAATCACAACCCCAGTCATATGTTATTACTTATGCTCAGGTTGACAATGACTGGCACGGGGCATGAAACAAGAATGTCTGGTTCATGTGGCATCACTCTATGCTAGCAGGAAATCATGTTCTTTTGATTCTGTTGATTGGTTTCCTGCTGAAGGCCATCCATGACAGAACAGAGTATACAAGACTATTGTCCAATTTCCATTTTCCCCAGTGCTTCTTGCTTTTTCTCGCAGGGGAAGCTGGCAGCCTTCATTTGATATAATAGGGCCCCAGTCAGGCACAGATAATGCCTGCAAGGCTGGTTGTAAATGTTGCATTTAGCAGGTTGCTTAGGGAAGGAAGAAATCATTGAAATGCAAACGCATACACAAGTTCAAACAACCCAAGATGAAGCTCCATTTGTTCAGCAGCAAATGCACAGACTTGACTCATTCACTGCCATGAAGATCAAGGGCCTGCCTCACAAGGTAGCAGACCTGCCTCCCACGGAGCCCCTTGGACATGTTTCAATAGACTGGCAAAAAGGAGGGGAAGAATGAGAATGAATATTGGCTGAGTTTTAGGTCTCCTTCCTTCATGGTTTCTAAGCCATAGCTTCTTGGAAAGTCACAGTTCTAGTAGAGTGGTTGGGCTTGAGGCACGTTGGTTACTCAACATCATCTACCAGCCCATGTCCGTGGGCGTGTGTGGGATTCTCAGTGATCATGGTCAGAATGTTTTTAAAATTTTTTTAGTATTTATTTTTTAGTTGTAGTTGAACACAATACCTTTGTTTTATTTATTTATTTTTATGTGGTGCTGAGGATCGAACCCAGGGCCTCGCACTTGCTACTGCTGAGCCACAACCCCAGCCCCTCATGGTCAGAATTTTATATTGATGTATATCATGCATAGTTGCCATTGATTCAACTTCAGAATGAAATTTTAATCTCTTCTTTGTTTTTCTATTAGCTTAGCATATTGTCTGTAATAAAGTAACTCACTGGAAAATGATAAAGAAATGGACTTCATGTTAATAATGGACTTCAGCAAAATCACAACTGCCAGGGCATCTCCATCGTAAGCATTCCTCTTTGTCTCTGACCAATCAGTGGCTGCCAGGCAACATATAGAATCTCTCCTTCTCTATAACCAGAGACATGATCAGCCCCAGAGGCTCATCTTGAACATCTGTCTTACAGCTCCCCACTGGCTGGGACCATCATGCTGCATACCCTGTTTCAAAAACAATTGTAACAACAGTAATTATTTACGTCTAGGTAAGAAATCATAGGCCACATCACACAGCATATGGAGGGTTAAATTATAGATATTCACTCAATCATAGATTCTGAGTCTGCCTGAATTCATCTCTGTGGGTGGCCACCCAGGTAAGAAAGAGTTCCTTCTTAGTCCTCATCTACGAAATCTAAATCCCTTTTGTCAGAGCTATAGGTACAATATCCCTGTTCCCCTTATAATATGTACACACTCACACTGATCACACACACACAGTTCTAGATCAAAACCATACTCTCTGCAGCCATCAAAGCTCTGATTGGCTTTGGTGGGTGACAGAGGAACCATGGGGGAAGTGGCTAGGGCCCGTGGTAGAGTCTTAGAGAGGGTAACTAAGACCTCTCCAGCTGGATGAAGTTTCTTGGGGATGTACAGGAATAGGAGGGGGAATCTGAGCCAAGCCCCCTCCTGGCTCCTGGTGGGGCTGGGGACTGACGGGGAACCTTGAGAAGCCAGCCTGGTAGATGACAGTGAGGGAGAAGGGGGGTGCTGGGGAGGGCTGGTGGAGCTGCACCTTCCTCATCTCTGGAGCTTACCAGGAAGAGCTGGTGACAGTGGGACTCCCTCTGGTTGGCATGGCTCCCTCTCACGCTCCTTCTCCTCTAGCCCCAGCCTTGCTCAGCCTTTAGCAGAAGGCTTCATGTTGCCATTCTTCATCCAAGTTTCCCTTTCTCTCTCTCCCTCCCCCACCCCTCCCTCTCCCCCTTCTTCTCCTTCTTTGTCTTCCTCTTCTTTGCTCTCTTTCATATTGTTTTGTTACTGTCTTTAATAAAGACCTTGCCTCAGGGCTGCCTGGCCCTGATGGACTGGTATGCAGCCCCTACCATAAGGTCAGCTGGGAGAATGGGCTCTGAAGGTTTGGCCAGAAGGTAGGGTCAAGAGAGCAGCCAGATGGCCTGGGTGTCTGTGTCTGTGTGTGCGGGTGCGGGCGTCAGTGAGTGCTGGCCTGGGTTTAGAGAACACAGGGCAGCAAGGAGGCAAAACTGCCCTTATTCTCAGCAGGGGGCTAGCCAGGCAGCCACCCGCCCAGTCCAGCCTCCCTCCATCTGGGCACTCTAGTTGCAAGAGTCAGCTCAGTGCCTCACTCTGGCTTCTTCAAGTTGCTGTGTGAGTCTGGGATCCTGGCTGCCCTGGCAGCTCGTGATCTTGGTCCAGGTCACCTCGGGTCTTCTCAAGTACCCACCTACTTCCTAGCCATGCCAGTTCCATTCCTGGATAATGCTCTTCCCCAGATGTCCCAAAGATCTGGTCTCCATCACCTGGCTTGAGGGACTGCCTCTCCAGGGCTAGTTAGTGATAAGCCCAGCATAGAATTCAAAACCCTGGCTCTTGAGGAGCTTCTTGACTTTTTTCTGTTCCTCAGGATTGCCTTCCTTTGCTTCCCAAATGACTGCTTTTTTGGCTGCAAGTGTTGCTTTTTGTAAGAAATATCCTGCAATTCATTAGTCCAAGTCAAGCACAAGCGGAGCTAATCTAGTGAAAAGTGTTTTTTATTTGTTTTGCTTTTCTATTGGTGGTTTGAATTCCTACTGGACTCAGGACATTTCTTTTCCTGTTCCCAGACTCATTCTTGGAGTCTATGATTTAACTGAGATCTTCTACATGTACATTAAGGGACTCTAAACCCGAGGCTTAAAACACACAATAATGGGGGATCAGGAACACCAAGGGGTCCCCTCTCCCTCCTCCTTGTCCAGTCAGCTTCACACCCCTGCATGTTATTTCAGGAAAGAGGAATCACAGAGTAGAGCTGAGCAGCTGCAAGAGTCAGGACCCCATGACCAGTGGTTGGGTCCCACTCCTGTGCTCTCCCCTTCATATGCAGCTAAGGGTTCAAGTTTGCAGAGTCCTAGGCCTGAGCATTCTGAATGTATTTCTGGTAATAAGTCAAAAGGGTTAGATTCCAAGATGCCATCTGGTTCATTGTTCCTTTGTTGTTTTTCTCTTGTCGATTTAAACCCCAGCAGGGCAGGACTTAATATCACTCCCCATGGCATCTCTAGAAACTAGAACAGATCTGGAACTTTGAAGATGCTCAACAAATATTTGTGAAATAAATGCATGAGCGATGGCTCCAACTCATACACTCTAGATTTCTGTAATCACTGTGAGAGTTAAAGGGGCAGGGATCATCTGGGCTGTCCCCATCCCCTCACCACCAAAGTCACCAGTCATGAATTTCCCAGCTCCATTCGGAGATGATTCCTACCTCCTTAATGTCCTTTATTTCTTGTCTTGTTTTTCTTTCCGTTCTTGCATGTCTTTAACTCCCCTACTAATAACACAAGTGACCCATTTCCTCTGCTGTTTCCAAACCACTATCCATGCCATTTTCCCTTCAGTTTGCCTCTGGTGAAAAAAAAAAAAAAAAAAAAAAAGAGAGAGAGAGAGAGAAAAAAAAATCCTTCCAGAAATGTGACTCAGAGCTAATCAACATAAATGTCATCCAAGGCCTTCGGGAATTTCTCGACCATGAGTCACATCCCCTGTGCTGAGAACCTGGGCTTCAGTCAAGGCAGAAAGTTTCAAAACCAGGACCCAGAGACACCCCCGCCCCCACCTGCCCCCACCCAGCCCCTTGCCCATGGGCAGCAGGAATTTCTCCTTTTCCTTCTTTGTTGTTACTGCCCGTGGTCACCCTAGGTGAAGGCTTCTTTTGCCTTCTTCCCAGTGCGCCATCACTAGTGGGATGGACTTCAGGAACCCAGCAGGAAATGCCCTGTGAACCTCCTCCCCAGCAGCTGTGGCTACCACTGTCGATTGGGGACCTGGAGACATAAGCCTCAGCCGGTTTCGCCATGGGCTCAGGGCCAAGGCACCTCAGACTTTCCACTCCAGCTGGAAACAGGACATGAAAGATGCAGGTTAGAACAGAGCCAGGGCTGCTCGGGTTAAAGGTTTCATTCATGAATGAAAAAACAAAAACAAAACTAAACAAACAAACAAAAAAACACCCTTTGGTATTCAGACTACTCTGCTTTCTTTGTTCTTTCTCTTTCCCTTTTTCATTTATAGAACAGGTCGCAGTGCAGGTATTTGAAAATAGGAAGGGAGGGAGGGAGGGAGGGAGGCAGAGAGGAATGACGGAAGGAAGGAAACTTAAAGCTCATCCAAGCGTATACAAAGGTGACACACACATGCCATCAAAATGGAAGGGAATTAAGCTTGTACTTACACATGACAGGCAGGGACAGGTTGAGAGATTTTTATCCAGGTCATGGGAAGGTCAATGACAAGTTTTTGAGGTCTCCAGTAAATAGGGAAATGTTGGGGCAGACTGAGCTTCCAGTAACCTTGAACGAGAGGAGCAGGGCACACAGGGTGAGGCACATGTGCTAGAGCCAGTCTGTTCCGAGGTTCAAACTACAAGAAGCCAATGAATGACCCACGAAAAAGGAATGATCCCAGCTCAGATGGGCCCTAACGGATCCTGGTGGAGGGAATGATGGAACTTGCAAAGAAGCCCCTCCCAGAAGTCCAGGGTATGGAGAGATGCTCACAGAATAGTAGCCGTCATCACTGAGTTCAGTATTGGAAATGGCCAGAGTCCCTTTCTGTCACCCAGCTGACCAAGTGCTGTCGTTCTGACACAGGACCAGAGGGAAGAGGAGGCTCAGCCATATCCAGGGCATTTGCTCTCCTGCAAGGATAGTAACAGGGACAGTGAAGGGCCACTGTCCTCCTAACTGGGGACTTTCTCATCTAGCACTCAGGGGATAGAGGAAGTTTTCTTATCTTGTGCCTGCCTGAAGACACTTGATTTGTAAGTCAAAACATGGCTATGCATGTATGGAAACATTAAATGGTACCCATTCAGAAGTATTACTTTTTGTGTTTTTATGTAGCAATTAAAAATAAATTTAAATTAAAACATGGTTTTGTCAGAATGAAGGAGAATTTGCACTTTGCCCGGGGAGGCTCCATTTCCTGCAACCCTGCAATACTAAAACAAACAAACAAACAAACAAACAAAAAAACCCTGTGAACTACTTAGCAAAGAAAGAAAAATTTCAGGCTCACAAACTTCCAGGAGATGTTAGAATAGGCTTTATGGACTGCTAGGACCAACTACTTAAACACAGAAGTAGTTCCAGAATCATGTCCAAGTGGTGGGATACTACTCAGCCTCAGTTTCTCTCATCTGTAGAATGAAAATATCAACTTTCCCATTTACCTCCTAGAATTATTATCATGGTCAGTTGAGAAAATACCTGAACAGATGTACTACCTACCATATGAGGCACTACATACCAAAAATTCAACACTTGTTTCAAAAATGTGTATTTTTTCCAAAGAGATTAAAACATTAGAGAACCATTTGAGCATAATGCAAGTTTCTCACAGGCAATTTCATCTGTGAGAAAACTAGGTTAACATAGAAAACTGCACTAGGCTGAACAGAGCCTTGTCAGAATCCACAAAATGCACATCTGCACACACTTCACAATCTGCCCTGTCGTTACCTTAGAGAAGTGTTATTCTAATTATCCTTACCAAGTGAGTTGTCCTACAAGATTGTGTTTTGCTAGTTGTTCACCTCTCTGAACACAAACATATATTCCTATTTATCTAAACACTACCCATTAGGCCCCACCTCCCAACACTATTACATAAAGGATTCAGTTTCTAGCACAAAAATTTTAGAGGACATATTCAAACTCTGGCACCCTGGGAATAAAAGAAATGTCTACAGATGGAATAACCTCAAGTGCTGAGAAGTCAATATGAATAGGCCTGAATAAGAACCAAGAAGAAACAGAAGAGATAGAAAGATCAATACTTCTATGATTAAAAACCAAATAGTAAAGAATAGAAGGAGAACATCTCTCACAAAGAGGAGGTGCTGTCTGTACACAGAGACCTTGATGGAAATGCCAAATTCCACAGATGTGTCACCTTTTGAATTGCAAGTGGCTGGTTTGTTGGTTCCAAACATCACAACATCCCTACAGTTTCTGATGACTTTAGCTGTTGGGTTAAGCTCCAAGTGCAAATAAGAAAGCTGTGAAAAAATTTCCAGCAGGGATGCAGAAGTTAAAGAGGAGTGTACACTGGATCAAATTTTCAACTTTGGTGAAATAGGTACCTGTTATAATGTACGCATCCAAAGACCCACATTTCAAAGACATAAAAGCAAATTTCAGAATTATAGGACTGAAAAAGATTGACAAATTTGATAACCTTCCTCCTACCTCTTCATAGTAACTCATAAGTTGCAATCCTGCCAACAGCTGGTTCTGCACACAAATTTCAGGTCTTTTTTTGTTTTTGTTTTGTTTTGTTACCAGGGATTGATTGAACTTTGGGGCACTCAGCCACTGAGCAACATCCCCAGCCCTACTTTGTATTTTATTTAGAGACAGGGTCTCACTGAGTTGTTTAGCACCTCATTTTTGCTGAGGCTGGCTTTGAACTTTCGATCCTCCTGCCTCAGTCTCCTGAGCCACTGGGATTACAGGTGTGTACCATCACATCCGGCAAATTTCAAGTCTTTTGCAAGATAAAAAGCCATATTTATTGTAGCATTTTTATACTTCTAAATTATTTAACATGCACAGAATTGTGCTACCATTTTTATTAGACATCTATCTTTTTTAATGCCACTGACAGTTTTCAGGTACTATATCCTGGCCCTATTTTTCTCTAATCCCCCTGTGATTAGTTATGTTTCATTTTGTTTGTTTTATTTTGTGGAACTGGGAATTGAACCCAGTTCAATTGAACCCCAGTCTTTTTCATTATATTTTTATTTTTGAAACAGGATCTCACTAATTTGCCCAGACTGGCCTGAATTGAGATCCTCCTGCCTCAGTCTTCCTGGGATTAAAGGTGTGCACCACCGCACATGGCTGGCCCTGTTTCTGCACATGGCTGGCCCTGTTTTATTGTACAATTTTGGGTAGCACAGTGAGTCTTATAAATGCATGCATTTGTATGATAGCAGAACAGACTGTGGTATAAGGTAATATATAAAATTGCTTCAACAGGTAACATACCTGGATCTTTTAATTTCTACATGTTTCTCCCTCAGCCATTGGCTGGCTACTATAGGCTATAGGTGTGAACCCATAAATTAAACTTGTCTTTCCTCACTGGCCCCCCATACCAGAACCTCCCTTCTTTCCCAAACTCCTCTTCTTTCCCTGAGTCCTTAAGGCTGAATTAAAGTTCTTGACAACTGTATTGTGCAGCTACTCTCCAGAAATTCCCTTTGTCCTCTAGCAATGCTCTCTTACCGCTTCAACTCCATGAATCTTGTCCTTGCTTACTTAAGGCTGCCCACTGGAATCCTGAATCTCCCTGTGGTTTTTACAGTCCTTCCCATTGCACAAGCACTTTCTCCCTTTCCCCATGATCATGTAGCACTGGCTGAATTGCGAGGACTTCATCCAAGCTGGGCCCTTTCCTGGGAAACCAAGGAGCAGCCTGGAAAACTAGTATAACTCTTGTGTGACCTAGACTCACATTCACAGATGGAGCCTCAGTTGTGGGCTGGGCAGTCTCCAAGCTACCCTTGGGCTGTTCTGGAAGCCTCAGGCCTCCTGCAGGACTCTGAAGATCTGCCTCTTCAGGAGCAGCTGAGACCAGCCCTGCGGGAGGTGAGGAGAGTGAGATGGGAATCAGGCCCACGGCTACCTAGAAAACCACTTTTTAACCACTGCCATTTGCGAAAAGCTTTTCCTGGGGAATTTTATTATTCTTTCCTGACTACCTAACACATGTCAGAGTTTGGAGAGTTAAGGAAATACCCCACTGGGTAAGCTTTATTTTAGTTTCAAAAAGGAGTTTCTAGCCCTTCCTGTTTCAAAACTCCAATAGCTTTGTCTATATAAGAACACCACTGTGTGGCTAGTTAAGACAACCCCAGAATGAAAGGTGTAAATTATGTCAGTCCAATGAGGTAGAAACTTTGAAACTGTTTTACTACCAAAGCGTCTAAAGGTGGCAATCAACAGAAGCCTCCTGAAATCTGATAGACTTTAACCCCCGAATTTCAACTGAATCCTGTGCGGTTTAGCAGCAGTTTTTAAGGGGGTAGCACTGAAGTTGATGAGCCGTTAGGACAACTGCATTTGATTCCCACTTCATCTCCTGATCTGTTGGCATCTGGAGATTTCAGCTCTAAATCACAGGCCTGTAAAGCAAACAGCCCCAGGGGCAGGTGAAAAGTCCTTGTTTACAGCCTGAAGGAAGTGGGTGTGTTGGGAAGGGGGTTATGGAGGAACATTTGAACAGAAGTGCTTTACTTTTAAGCAAGGCCAGACGTCTCACTAAAGGTCAGGGACTTACCTAGTGACATTCTGCTCCAGAAGGTATGGGAGTCCTGTGGGTAAAGGAGCTCCAGTAATAAGCTGTCTGAGTTTGGCCCTTGTCGCTGCTATCAAGTCACCTGACCTTCCTGAAGCCACTTTCTGTCCTCTATTTTCTTAATTGTAAAATAAGCATCATGGAACACCTGGAGATGAGAAATTAGGGATACAGAAAAGAAAAGATAGATGGAGTTTCAAAAGAGAAGTGCCCAGGAGCCTTTGGAATACAGGAAAAATCCATGAACCACTGAAATACAAAATAAGCATTCCTGAATAACTTGGCCCTTGTATCTGGCCTGTGCCCTTGACCTCTGCCCTTTCCTGCAAAAGTAACTTAAAGGCAATGCACAAAAGCCAGAACAACTGGCACAAATGGTGTAAATTTACCCTGGCTCCATGTCTAGTTCATTCCCTAGCAACTGTCCTAAAATATTAACACCCATACCAAGGGACTGCTATATTTCCCTCTGGAGATGAGCCACATTCTCCCATGAATGCATATTTACCCCCCCCAATATGATTAGAATTGTAACTTTTGACCAGGTAATCACAGAGAATATTTTTGAATGAAACTACACATTATTCTAGACTGTTCACAAGGCAGTTTGAGATGTTCAAAATAGTAAACATTTACTGAGTGCTTATTGTTTCCCATGAACTCTCCATTGGATTTTTATAATTTTCCTAATCTGACTCAAAAATTGCATATTTTACCCACCAAAATATCTTTTCCCTGAGATAGCCCATACTCTCCCTTGAATGTTTATCTGCTTTCCTATAAATAAGTCTGTCTCTAACTGGAGCATACTTAAATTCCTGTCTGTCATATATAGCAAGATACCCCTTCCTGAGTCTAGGTCTCCCTTTTTGGGAACTCCTTGGACCTCCTGTGACAGCCTACTCATGAGTCAGATTAGGAATCTTATAAAAACTCAATGGAGAGTTCATGGGAAGCATCAGGTACACAGTAAGCACCCAGTAAATGTTTACTATTTTGAACATCTCAAACTGCCTTGTGAAGTGTCTAGAATAATGTGTAGTTTCATTTAAAAAATATTCTCTGTGGTTATCTGGTCAAAA